AGTTCAAAATGTCCAAGGGTAGTTGGAGATATGAGACTGGAGGCTGAGAGAGACCTTAAGCTGGACAAGAAGATCTGAGAGCAATCTGCATAGAGATGACAGCTGAATTCACTTGGAATGGAGAAAGGCCCATGGGTTAACAAAAAATGTCAATGCAGTACTTTCTGAGATGTTTTTTCCTGCCAGGACAGGAAATCAAATTCTGGAACGGCTCTGTCTAATGAAGGACTTCTGGTCACATCATTTCAATAATAGCTCTACTTTGCTTTTTCATTTCTTGAATATGACCTTCCAGTCCCTATTTTTTCTGCTACCCTTGCACAAATCCATTCTTTCTGAGGGAATTACCAAATAAATAGTACAGGGGAAAGAGAAGAAGGGCTAGGACAGCCCTGTGCTATACCAATGGTTAACAGGAGTGATCTGGATGAAGAACCAGTGAAGGATGCAGAGAAGGAGTGTTCCGTGATGGAGGAGGAGAATCAGGAGAGAGTAGTGTCACAAAAACCTAGAAAGAAGAGAGTATCAAGGAGAAGAGGGTGACAGTGTAAAGGCTTCAGAGAGGTCAAGAATGATGAGGACTGAGAAAAGGCCATTGGAATTGGCAACCCAGAAATAATAGGTCACTTTGGAGAAAATGGTTTCAGTTGAATAATAAGGTCGAAAGCCAGACTGCAGAGAGTAAAGAAAAGACTGTGTGGAAAAGAAATGGAGGCATCAGTTGTAGATAGCCTGCTCTTAAAATGTGTTACTTAGAAAGAGAAGGGGTCAGGACACATTTCCCCCATTAACACTTCAGCGTGAATTAGTTTTCAGTTTGGCCAGCACCTTGAAATGTAATAAATGATAAGGGGACATTGAGAGAAAAGAACACATGTTAATTTTGACATGGAGGTGGAATTTTAAAAGGCCTGGAGCATGAGCCAGGCCCAGGGAGGACAAGAGTATGTAGATCATCATAGGTAGAGAGATGTCCTGAATAGTGAAAAGAGCTCCAGCTTTGAATTAAGAGGGCCTGGATTTGAATCCCTGCTCTACTATTGGCTACCTTTATGTCCATGAGAAACTCACTAAACATCTCTAGCCTCACCTGTAAAATAAAAAAGGGGGGATGGAGGGGTTAGACTAAATGAAGTTTCCTTCCAGCTTTAAATCTATTAAGCAGCGAGGTGGCACAGCAACTAGAGCACCAGTCCTGGAGTTAGGAAGACTTGAGTTCAGATTTGACCTCAGATATGGATCTGATCTGGAGAAGGAAATGACAAACCTCTTCAGTATCTTTGCCAAGAAAATCCCAAATGTGGTCATGAAGAGTCTGACGCAACAAGGACCCTCAAAGCATGAGGACACAAGGTTTCTGAAAATAAATGTTTTTTACTTCACGATTGTGTCCAGAGTAGGCTCAAGGTGTGGATGGTTGTAAATTACTCTTATTCATAGAATCACATGATTTGAGAGGGGGAAGGGAACTCATTTGCCATCTAGTTCAATCCAACCATGAAAGGGAACCTCATAATAAAATATATATCAAGTGGTCATTTAGACCCTGCTTATAGATGTCCAAAGGGAACCCCACCACATACTCTAAGCAGCCCATTCTACTCCTGGACATCTAAAATTGTTCTCAAGTTTTCCTAACATCAGTTTAAATTAGCTTCTTTGTTACTTCCACCCATTTCTTCCAGTTCTTTTCTCTAGGACCAAATAGGGGAAAAAAGAATCTAATCCATCCTCCGCATTACAGCTCTTCAAGTTCTTGAAGATAGCTATCACGTTCCTCCTGTTCTTTCTCTTCTCCCGGCTAACCTTGCTCAATTTCTTCAACAGATCCTCTTCTTTCCTGGCCTCAAGGCTCTTCACCAATTTGGTTACCCTTCTCTGGGCTCTTTTTAATTTATCTTTGTCCTACTTAAACCATGGCACACAGGACTGAACTCAATGTTCCAGATGAAGTCTGATGAAAGCTTGGCCCCCTATTCATGCAGCTCCATATTGCATTAGGTTTTCTTTCTTTCTTTCTTTCTTTCTTTCTTTCTTTCTTTCTTTCTTTCTTTCTTTCTTTCTTTCTTTCTTTCTTTCTTTCTTTCTTTCTTTCTTTCTTTCTTTCTTTCTGCTGCCACATAATACTGCTTATTTACATTGAACTTAATGCAGTCCACTTAACCACTAGATTTTTTTAAACCCCTAGATTTTTAAAAATAATCTGCTGCTATCTATCCAATGCCTCACTTACCCCATTATACTTATGAAGTTAATTTTTTGTACCCAAATGTAAGACTTTACATTTATCCTTTTTGAATATCATTTTATTAGATTTAGCTCAATACTCTACTCTGTTAAAGATCCTTTTGGATTGTGATTGTCATCCAATGTGTTAGCTATATTTCCCAGCTTTATGTCTTTTGCAGATTTGATGAGCATACCATCCATGCCTTTATTCAAATCAGTGATGAAATTGTTCTCTTGGCCTGTTTCCCAATCTCTGTAAGGACAGGGTTAGATTAAATATCTCTAAAGCCTCTTCTGTCTTTAAGACTCTATGATTCAAAAAAAAAATTTAGAAAAAAAAGATTCTATGATTCCAAGATTACCCACTGAGTACAAAATAAAAAGAACAGGAAAAGTCAGAGGATTTAGATAGAACATTAGAGAAAACTTTATAATTGAAAGAACTTTGAGATCCTGAAATAAATTTCCATAGGAAATCTCTAGAGATTGTGAGAAAAATATGTTTTAGCTACAATTTGTCTTAAAGCTGAATGATTAATCTTGAGGTCTCATGCAAGCCTTCTAATTCAATATCAGTATGAAGCATTTCATAAAGATCCATCCTAACAGCCTGTAATATTGGCTCTATCTGGAAATATGAACATTTAAGTACTATCTGTAATAATGACATCTTGTGGCCACCAGTTACTACTACAATTCATGATTCAAATGTTAATCTCCATTTGAATACCAACTTTAAACTCCCTCTTCTAATTATTTAGTTTTTCAATGAGCTGTACTCATTCTCCTACTCTCCCCTCCCTTTACCCCTCCCCAGTCTATATTGCTTCATTCTATCCCCTTACTTATCTTGCCTTTTAATATAGAGTGATGAGGTTGTATTTTAGAACTAATAGTTACCATAACAGTTTTTATTACTTGTAATCATCTCATGTTATAGAATTAGAAGGAACCTCAACAAGTCATTAGTTCCATTATTGTAGGATCATAGATTCAAATTTTAAAGTCCCCTAGTGACCATCAAATTCAACCACCTTGTTTTACAGATGAAGAAACTGAGGCATAGATAGGTTAAATGACCTTCCCAGGGTTACATAGTCACTAAGTGTCTGAGGCTGAATATGAACAAAGATCTTCCTGAGTCCAAGTTCAATGCCGTATCTTCTTTGCTCTGCTTCTTCTCCAGGCAACCTGATTCCTAAAGGATGAGTTGACTCACTTAACTGAAATTTACTTCTCTTTTCACCTTGAAACACAAAAGTGTCCCCTTGTTCATAAATAAGAATGGGTATTTGTAATTAGTATTAACAAGTGACAAATTTATTGCATTTTATACATTTAAACATGCTTTCTCATAAGCATGATTTTGAGGGGATATTATGACTTCTTTCTTTCTCCTTCTCTATTTGCATTATTACAGGCTACTTGACCAAATCTTTCCTTCAGGTTGGTTTATAGTATCCTTATAAATGTAATGAAGCTGATTTTGGAACCTATAAGAACAGCTTGAGGTAATGGGTACTTCTAGCACCTTCAGTGAAAAAATGAGGAGGGAGTGCTAATAAGATGTGTAGTCCAGACCAAGTGTTTTGTGTGGGTCAAATATGGGGTAGAAAGAGAGTGACGTGATGGTTCATCAAATGTGCAAAATACATAAAGCTGGGAGCATGATAGTGACTGCAGTAATGGGTCTATCAGACATTAAGGCAGAAGAGTCAATCTGCCATTTTTTTTTTGTGAGGGGGGACTTTTTTTTAGCCCCAAGGGCTTAGAAGCAGAACCAAGTTTAATATGGAAAGAATGATATAGAACCAGTAGCCAGGGCTCACTATGGCCCTTAATTCATCCCTAAGGCTTGTGTTTCCATCTTGAATTGTAAGGGAAATCTGAGCATGATTCTTCAGACCTCTGGACTTGGAATTAGGAAGAATCAAGTTCAAAACCCACCACAGAGACTTACTGGCTGTATGACCTTGAACAAATCACTTGTCCAGTTTATGCCTTAGTTTCCTCAACTGTAAAATGAGGAGGTTGACTTGATGGCTGCTAAGGTCTCTTCAAGCTTTGAAATCTGTAATCTTATGACCATAAGAATAGAAATGGCCTTCTGTAGTGGAAAAAAAAATACTGGACAAGAAGGTAGAAAACCTAATACCTGGTGGTAACTATGCCATAATAAGACATGATCTTTATAATGAGACTTACTGACCTAACCTCCAAGAGCTCCAGTTTCCTCAAATGTAAAATGGGAATTCTCTCTTCACTACCTACTAGTTTTTTAAAGGATTAAATTGTATAATACACAAATAATAATAATAGTTAACATTTACAAAGCACTTACTGTGTGCCAGGAACTGTGGTAAGCACTTTACAAGTATTATCTCATTTGATTCTCGCAACAACCCTGGGAGGTAGGTAGATAAGAATTTAACTTGTCCAGAAGCAATACAGAGAATAGCAGCAGGGAAAAGAAGAGAACCCAGGGCTTCCAGTCTTCTTTAGCAGTGGTTGGGTCTTGGGAACATTACATAAAGGATAGCTATTATTATTTCTACTATTATTATAATGCTATCGGTCCCCTAACATATTATGCCAAACCATGATTTCAGTGATATAGACTATTCACAACTTGGTAAAGACAAAGAATCAAAGAATGAATGTTAGCCTCCAAATAACCACAGAATGTTGTATGATTGCTACCAACCCGCAAAGCATCCTGAAAGCCAGTGGCTAAGCTTCCCTAGCCTTGGAGACATAGAAAGGGCACTCACAGCATTTCCATTTTCAAGCCATGTGATAGTAGGAACTGGAATGCCCGTTGCAGTACAGCGTAGGGTCACTATGGAGCCAAAGGTGACATTGTGGGATTCAGGAGCCCGCAGAATTCTGGCAAACACTGTTAAGGAGATAGAGAAGCCACATGACTATTCTGAAAGTACATCTTCAATCAAAGATATCTCCAAGGAATTAGCTGCATGCTTCTAAAAAAAGAATCCCAATATCCACAAGTCACAACAGGAAGGAAGATAACAAGAGAATGAGATGATGACTATTAAGGAAAGAACAAATACAAACAACCCAGAATTGAGGACAGGGGAAAGCAGAAAAAAATAACTCCTATTCTTTGTTCCAGATGAACTCCTTTTGGTTTCATGGAGATTTCTTTCATAATGTCAGTAGTTATGTTACCTCTGACTGAACAGTATGACTCAAATTCAGTATGTAATATATCAGTTTCAAATGACGGAATTGGGAAAGCTGGGAAGAGAGCTTAGTGATCATCTTGCCTAGCCCAGGCATTATACAGACAGAGAAACTGAGGCCTGTGGGGATGAAATGACTTGCCCAAGGCTATAGAATTACTTAATAGTGAACCTGGGCCTAGATTCCCAGTTCAGTGCTATTTTTATGGTCTAAACTATTCACCAATGTTTTGGCAGTACCTCCTCTGAGCTGCCAGTCTAACACAAACTCCCAGTCTCAGTTTGAGGTCTCTAGAAAGTAGCTGCTATGATGCTATTGGGATCATAAGAGTGACCATATGGGACTTGACTTCCAGGGCTATTACTTCTCATACTTTCTGCATGGGAAAGTAAATACGCTAAAAGCTTAATTAGCTTTTACCAAAGGTATTACAAAGATGGTATATCAGGAAGAGTTGGGACAAATCATGTCCCCTCAGGAGCCAGGGATATATTGTCCCCAAAACACTCCATGTGCAAAGTTGAATTAAATTTAAGTTGTGATGCACTGATGTAAGATTCTGTGTGTCAAAGGGATATCATAACTTCTGGCATTTTCTGGCCTGAATGTCCTTTCTCCAGTCCAGAGTTGACATTCTTTTCCAGTCATACTTCTCAAAGCTGCAGCTCTCTCTTCAGATTACTATATTTCTGCATCTATTTGACCTCTGTGACTTTTCTCTTTTATGGATATGTTATTTCCTATTGGTCTAATTTCTTTGATTATAACTGGATGCACTTTCTGATACTGGTCCAGTTTCTTCAATGACATAGTCACTGGTGGGAGGGTAATAGAAGAAAGAAATCCTTTTATCCACCCATGGGTGGTTCTTCCTCATTGAACTGGAATTGCTAGCTCCCAAACTTGAACTGATCAATGTAGGACTGAGCTCATCCCTGGACTATCATTTTTATACACTGGCCCACTGGTTGTGTTTGAGTCTTTTGGCCAGTCATAAGTTATTTCCTCCATTGTGTCATCTGGTTAAAAAAAAAAAACAACATAATACTTTCAAGCTGATTTGTACTCTTCAGTGGGCATTATTTGCCCAAGTTTCTACTACTTTGTCATCGTCATTAGTAGATGCAGAAAAGAGTGATATAGGACTGACTGCCATTTCAACTTTTAAAAAATTGGTTGCATTATGTCATCACAGCCACACAGTTCATTCTCTAGCAGCCATATTCTGATAATCTCTGTACTTTGCTACCCCATACTTAGCTACCATATCTAAAGTCTTTCTAGCTTAGTATAACTTACCAGAGATCATGTTCCCCTGGCATAGCCTTCCAGAATGTAAGGTCATCTCCATGCAACAATAAGTATGATTCCTGTGATATCTAAATCACCACTATCCTCTGTAAAAGAATATATATGTAAAAATCCACCCCCCTTCCCTCTCCTCTCCTCTCTCTCCCTTTCCTCTCTTCTCTCCTTCCTCCTCTTCCTCCTCCTTCTTCTTCTTCTTCTTCTTCTTTTCTCTCTCTCAGCAAGTAGGTATATAGAGTGCTTGTGATTTTAACTCAAGACCTAAGTTCAAATCCAGCCTCAAAATACTTCTTAGCTATGTGACCTTGGGCAAGTCATTTAACCTTAGGCTGCCTTAGTTTCCTCATCTGTAAAATTAGGATAAGAGCACCTGCCTCCCAGAGTTGTTGTGAGGATCCAATGAGATAATGATTGTAAAGCGCTTAGCACAGTACCTGGCATACAATAGGTGCTATGTAAATGTTAGCCAATATTATTATTATTACTATCATTATATGTTGAAATCTGTTGTTATGTATGTCATCTGTTGTTTTTATACACACACGTCTATAAGGTGGCAGCAACACATTGGCATAATGAGCAGAGAGCTGGCTCCCAAGGCAGAAAGATATGGATTCAATCTCCTCTCTGTCATCGATGGGTTGTGTGATGTTGAGTGAATTACAAAGAAGGTGCCAACTTCCATTGTTACAGGGAATTTCTTCTCTGAGTGTTCCCTCCAATATAAATGAAATCATAAGTCCAGTTCCTATCCCAATTATATAGATATATGTATATAAACAATAGACTTTATCTTAATAAAAAATATACTATTCCAGTGAAAATAGGTAATAATAGCTAATATTCATATCTCATTTGCTGTGTACCAGGCCCTAAGCTAAGCTCTTTAACAAGTACTACTTTATTTGGTCCTCCCAACCGCCCTGCAAGGTATGTAGGTGTTAGTATTATCCCCATAATACAGGGGGAAAAAAAGGAAAGAACATAAACAGTAACATTTTCTCCCAAGCCTTGTTTTGTTAAAGATCTTAGCTACTCACTATGCCATGGTTCTTCTCAGCTGATAAATGAGTGACTTTGGGTTTGGGTTATAAGAAGCAACAAGTAGGCTATAGATAGAGATATATTCCTTTGAAATACTGTTTCATTTTTCCCTTATAAAATACCTTTGTAAGTTCTGGGCTTCGTAGTTTGGGAACAGTCTTTTTTTTTTTTTTTGAGAGCCAGTAGGCTCAGGATTCCAATGGTAGTTTTGCATACATGAAATGCAAAATAATGCTTAAGCAGCTAACATCTCAGGATTGTTTAGTATCCTGTTAACTTTATGCACCTCATTTATAGAGTAACTGTGGCTTGATTGAAGGGTGGAAGTAGAAAGCCAAATTTTTCCCCGAGCAATAATTTAGTAATTTTTTTTTTCTGAATAGAAAAACAAAGTTCATGTGAATTAAACTTTCTCTTGGTCTTTTCTCATCTGGAAAATGAGGGAGTTGGAGTAGAGTATCTCTAAGGTCTATTTCAGGTCTGATAGTCCCTATTTTCTATGTAAATTTTGAGATTTTTCTTTCTTAATTTCTCATTTCCATTCTCTTACCCAATATCTCAAGTAATAATTAGATAATTCGGTACTAACAATCATTCAAAAGATTCAATATTTAGACCTTTCAAAAATGACTCCATTTAAATCTACACGGTATTCAATGGGCAAAGATATAAATGATTTCCCATAATGCATAGCTCTAAGACTATATACATGAGACCACGACCCTGGAACTTTTGACTTTGGTGTTATAGTGATAATGAAATATTAGTTTTTAAATTGTCCATCCCTCCTTTTCTGCTTTCTTCATATCATATAAAACTACAGGAGAGACCCTTAATGAATATAATTTCAAGCAGCAAAAGTTACATGATTAATGCATATGAAATGTGTTTCCATATTTTTGTCTCATTCAAGTGAAAGCTGAGTCAAAAATGGTTCCAGGTCCTTCTTTGCAAGGTAACTGGCCAGGACAGCTGTCATTCTGAGGCAGTTATTCTCAATCCACATGTGTGTGTGTGTGTGTGTGTGTGTGTGTGTGTGTGTGTGTGTATAAGATATATATATCTTATAGCACCATGAAGTTGGTTTACCCTGTATTTAATTTTGTAACAATAATTAAAATGAATATATGAGGATTTACTTATTCTTTAAGAATTTCATGAGAAGCTCTCTTGAAACAATTAAAGACACTCTAGGATGTTTCAAAACCAGTGTTGGGAATTACCATCTAATATTTCTCCCCAGGGAAGTTAGACTACCAAGTACCTTTAGCCAAACTTGAAACTTCCCTTCCAACTTGTGTGGGATTTATGCACACATACTGATTCAATTTTTACATTACCTTGCATTTCCAGAGTTCCTGGCACCAAAATGTATTTCTGCTGACCTGGCTTTTTCTTGAGAACTTTTAACTTCCAAGTAGCAAATTATTTCATCAAGCAGCCAATCGGATAACACCATGCTAAATCATTGGCACTCTATATTTTCCCATAAACAGTAAAGTGCTTAGTGCCAGGAACAAAGGAAATGCCCCTCAGGAATAAGTTTCCTATCAAAATATGCCTCTCAGAGTGGTTCATCAGAACAACAGATAAAAAATAATTCAGAAGGATTATGAATTAAACAAGAAGTAGGATAGAAAGAACAAATACCTTTAGTATCTTGCTCGGTTTCACTTTCTTCTATTATTAAAAAGAAAATAAAAAACAAGTTATAAAAAAAAAACAATTCAGGTCTTTTGGTGGGGGGAAAATGCCCAAATTTATTGCAAGAAATGATCACTCTTATTTTACTATTTTGATGAACTTATATGATCCAGAGAAATCACCTTGTAACAAGGAAACCTTTGTCTGAAAACAACCTTGTACAAGGTTGATTAAAGCATGCTTTCTTCCCTTTTTCAAAAGAGTGACTAATGTGGTCACAGGGAAATTCTGCCCCTTTCCAAATTAAACCATTTAATCAATTGCAATTCTGAATGGCCCTGAATTTTGCTGGAGGTGCCTTGTCCTACACTGACCACATACAGTCTTTTTACCCACTGCATTGAGTTCCTTGTAGCAATTATTTCATAGTTATCCTTCCTCTCGAAGGTGACAATGATCTCATTCCTATTTCGATAGTTTTCTTCATTTCTTAGCTCAGCTTCTCCTCTTAATCTCTCCATAAAGTCAGCAAGCTGAATTTGTGTTCTCAAAGATCATTTCTATGGCAATAGGTTTATGTTATGATAAACACATTGTTAGGGGGTTTCTGTAGAATAAAGCACAAATAACTAATATCAATTCTCAGCACTCCATCAAAAAAAAAGAGAGGTGGTTTTTTTTTTTTTCTGAATCAATACCTCACTGGGAAAGTCCCTAAGGGGTGGAAAATGACAAAGAACAAAATTGGCAGCTGTGTGTAGTAAGTTGAGGGTGTAATGAAAAAAATTTAAAACCTCTAAATAAAAACCAAATTACTTTATGGATCCTTAATCTAAATTGGAGGACCTGTTCTAGTCCCAGCAAATGTCTTTATTCTGAAAGCTTGTAAACCCAGGCCTTGCCTGTAGTCATTGATAGCCAAAATATCAACTTTCATTTCTGGGAACACCAGATAAAATAATAAGGTTTTACTTGGAAACTTCCGTGGATCTAAGAACTCATCTGTATGGGAACTCTCTTTATCAGTGCAAATGGCAATCTATTCATACCTTCTTTCCTTTCTGATTCTTGTTTATATCCCTTCATAAAGCAACCACAGAAGGTCGATCTATAAGGCTGAAGGCCATTTTTCTAGATTAAAAAAATTTTTTTTGGTTGCCAGGACAACACTTGGAAGTCCATCTGCAATCCTTTTCTCTTCCTCCACAACTCTTCTACCTCTGTTTCTGGTCATACAGAGAGTTGATGTTTTTGTACCACTTCTGGTACAGAAGTCATCATCGATAACATGGAACAACCCATTCAGATACATGATACAACTTTCTATTGTACTTTGGGTCCCCAGAAATTTTGATTTTTGTGAAACCATGATGTTCCACAATTTATACTTATATAACATTTTGGGGAGATTATAGGCATTTGAAAAAAGAGAAAGAGATTTGGAAGTAGTACTAATCCCCAAAGTGATCCAGACCAATTTTTTCTTCCTCATCAATGCTGGGTCCAATTCACTGTCCATTTGCAGTTCCCAGATTTTATATACATATGTGTGTGTGTGTGTGTCTGGTGGACTAGCTCAGTGGGTTTTTCATTCAACTGCAGTATCAAAATTGATGCTATGTGTATATGTGTGTGTATGTGTGTGTGTATTATATATATATATATATTACATATATATATATATTTTTTTTTCCTATTCAGCCATTGATGGATTGTATGATCTTACACATATATGAGAGATGTCTTGTTGGAGGAAAGCCTTTAAAACTGTGTTTTGCCCCATAGAATCAAATGCTTTTTTGAAGAAAAAATTAAAAGTAGAATCTTGTATTCTCTAGTTCTCTCAATTATTTGTATGATTTGAAAACATGGTCTGCTATAAGAAGTTTTGTTTTTAATGAAAACTTGTTTGATTCCTTCTAATGTTATCATTGACGATACCATTAATGTCTGCCATGGCTATTGTCACTTAGATTATATAGAGATAGGGGAAGTAGGCAGATGTATTGGTAGTTCCTAATCTTTTTGCTTGCCATTTGGGTGGAGGGGCAATCATATCAACTGGTATCTTTTCCGTTCTTTGGTATCTACTTAGTATCATAAGTATCATATTTGAGATCTTGAAAATTGATCTTGAATTAAAATTAGAGCCTTCAGCATAGATTTTTTTTTGCCTATGCATTTATTCAAGTCTAATAAAGATTTCTTCAGTATGTACTATGTTATATCTAATGTTTCCTAACTTTATCTTCTTTAGCGTCACTTCTATTTCCTCATATAGCGCAGTAGATACTAAGGTATTAAAGTTCCAATGTGGTGGATCTTTGTAGGTTTTTTTCTCTGCATCATAAAATGTTTTTGAGGCAATGCTACACGTAATCTTCCATCCCTAATGTTCTGCATATTTTTTTTGTAATCTCTAAAGGTGTTGCCCTTGCCTACCGTATCTCCCCATCTGACAAGAAGCTCAAATGTGTGGTGGCTGAGGTAATTTCTGTGTTCCTTTGACCTCCTCATCATAGTAAGAATCAGTAAACTTTGTTAAGAAATTATTACAATCATGGCCAGTGGTTTTTATCCATTTCTTATTTTTTTAGACTCAACAGTTAATTAAATAACTTGGTCAGGAGCTATTTATTATAATTGCACACAATAAATTCTTTTTGTTATTAACCTTTCTTCTAACTTGGAATTGAAGTTAATGTTTGCTCCAAAGGCGAAGGTGAATATCTGACTGCACACAGTCAGTTAATTCTGAAATGTCCCCTGCTCAATAACTAGTTGTTTCTTCTCTGTTAAGATTACTCAACTTCATTTGGGGGGGATATTTAATATTTAAATTGTCTCTTCTTAAATTATGCACACATATTATAAATTTTATATTTTAAATAGTATAAATTATCTATATGTTAGGCTTTTGGTTAATTTCAAGCCCTTGGTGTTTCTCATGCTTAATTCCATATCACTTTTTTCTTTTACTGTCATTCCCAGTGCCCGCTTTTGCACTCAAGTCACTGAATATCAAGATATACAGGTTTAGGAGAACTCATTAATCCTTTGCTATGGATGACACATAAACTGTAATTATCACCATGGTGGTCGTTTGTTTCTGCTATTCATAAACAGCATGAGATGAAATGACCAGTGTCCCCTGAAATGTTTCTTGTAGCATTTGGGTACGTGATAAAAACAATCCTTCAAACTTCCTTTTTATCTCCAATTTTTCTATTTACATGAAGCTTCCCTGTGTCTTCTGGTGTCATTTATAATGAGAATTTCAATACAGAGTGGTTCAGTTTTCCAATAATCCATTAACTAATTTGCCAATGGACGAGAATCTTGTATTTAGAACAGCAACAGTTACATTAATATTTGTAGGCTGAAAACTGTGTAGCAGATGATTTATTCTGGTACAATATTCAAAGCCTTTTCAGTTTTAACTGAATTTTTCAGAACTCTTGTTATGTTGGCATTGCTTTCAGGAACCCTATCTCATGTCCACACTAGGATGAGGCATGGGGATAGGATTTTGGTGGAGGTGCAAACTTTTATATCAGAAAAAAGTCTTAATTATTCCCTAATAGATGCTGAAAGGGGAGTAAGTATACCCAAGTATGACTATGGCTTTCCCACTGGGTAAGCAACTTAATGTGTCCTCATTTAGATCTTTTTGAACACTCCTAGTGATGGTGGTCTTACTTGCTAATTATAAAGGTAGTCCGTCTTTTGTTTGAAAAGTTCTAATTGTTATAAAGATCATGAAAAATAGCAAAAGGCATACAACACAGACACAAATATGCAAGGCCCTACAAAAACTATAGTGCCTCTATTCGTGTCCCGAGCAGGATATGGCTTGTGTTGTATCGAGGTGATTCTTGGTTTTATGTGGAGGTGATTCCATTCTGCTGATCATGAGTGTCTAGGCCAGTGCAGTGGAAAATCTGACAGAGTCTATACACCTGGAAAAATCTCTGAGCATATCCCTGGCAGCTTGCTATGTTTGCTCTTTGAGCATTGCTGTAACTAAGCACAGAGAGGTCCATTAACAGAGATTTGGCCACCAAGGATTTTTTGGTTAATTCTTTTGGCCTTGAAATGGATAAAAATACCAAATATGTTTTTGATTTTGTGCAGTCTTCTCCAATGGTGGAAAAGGTGTAAGAATTTGCTAAGAATCACAGTTAGATAACATGGAAACATTAATTTAACTGTTGCTGCTCTTGATATATGACCTTTGTCCAGTAACCGACCAGCTGACACATTCCTGGAAGAACCAAACCACATCTATATTGATTTTTCACTATAAATGAGACAAAATAGGATAGCTCACCAGTGTTCCTCTGAGAGATGACTACAGAAGTTGGCAGATGAGTTTTCATAATGCATCCAAAGGCAACATAAGACATCATTTCATGGGATGCTTGTATAAGGAGACCACCATGAAGATAATTGCAGCTTGTGTACCAGGATCAAGAAAGGGATGTTGAAATAGAATAATTCTGTCCAGGGAAGTAAGGCATTCTATGTCTTGATAGTTGCTATCTTCAGTGTAAGGGTAGGCACCTGGGAGAAAGATGGAAAATGAAATTGGAAACGAAAAGGGATAAAAGTGTGTGGATGGCTCAAAATCCTCACAGGTCAGGGATGTGCTGGAGCCAGCTCAGGCTGGCTCACAATAGCTGATTGCAAATTTTTAATGTGAGCATTTGCACCTTCAAAATCAGCAAATGCCACAAATCAAGGCTTGGTTTATTGTTTTGCTGAATGAGTAGACAATAAAGTGATGGAGCAAATGTTAGTAAAGAGATAAAACTTTTAAGTGTCTTGTGCATACTTTTTTTTGAGGGTCCATTGTTAAATATCTATTAGCACACTTCTCACACCTATATTTTATGAATACTTTCTTCAAAAGAGATCTGGAAGGTATTGGACATGGTTCATACTTAACGATGTCACTAAAAAAAGGATGTGACGATAGAGAGGAAATTATTGGTTATATGTAGACAGAAGTCATTTCAGAATAGGCTGGCTGTAAGTAATTAGAATGATTGGTGAAGGCATGAATAAAGAGAAATAAGAAAAAGAATGAAGATTAGAGCAAAGTGTAGGCAATCACAATAGCTACAACCAGATAAAGTTAAATAAGCAACCAACTCTGAAAAGTTGAAAATGGATTAAAATAAGGATATTGATTCTAACGTTGAACATTTATTTGGAAAGCTTAACCTATGTAAAACAGTTGCCATAGTCAGTATGCTAAAAGAACCTAGGAACTACCTTAGCTAGGCAAGAATATCCTTGCCCAATGGAGAGATGGTAGCCATAGGCAACCCTGGTTTGAGCACATTATTTGTAATTCTGGAGAATGATGTCAAAGGATTTTCATCAGTATCAACTAAAAAAACAAAAATCATGAAAATACTATAGGAACAATAAACAGATACAAATGAAAATCAGTCTGGGCATTTCAAAATTTATCTATTCTCGCTGGTGATTATAACTCTACCACATTTGGTTCTTATTACGTTATGAGGCCTCTTCAGTGAGATCTATACTTATTTTAGGAGATTTGTTTAACAGCCTCCATTAGAAAAAAGTAGAAGGATCAATTTTGTTCAAATTGTGAAATTTAGCTGGAAACAGCCCATCCATTCCATCCATTTTCCTTCTCTTTGTTTCTGACCCTCTCTCTCTCTCTCTCTCTCCACACACACACACACACACACACACACACACACACACACACACACACACACACACTCCATCCTTTAAACAGGTACTACAGTTTTACAATGAACAAGACCCAGAACTGAGCAAGGGGAGGAGATGGTGCCTTACCATATTTGGGAAACCGCAATGATTTCAATGATCCCAAGTTGCAGCCTGTTGTAAAGACCCATCTTAATGTTTAATAGTTATAAGATAGCTCCTATCATGGGTTATTACCACCTCAAAAGAAATTAAAACTGCTGATGCACCAAAGGGCAATGGGAAAATGTAAGGTGAATTTAAATAAGCAGCAGCATATTGTGAATGATGATTTTTCACTTGAGAAGTATTGTGAAAGACATCATTATGGATACCCATAATCATAAAAAGAGATTGACTAGTCCTAAAATAAGAATGAGAGAGAGAGAATAGGTGGATTGCCCAAGTGCCAAACTGGCACCCTTGATACATTTAAAAAAAAAAAAAGGAAAGCTTCCATTGATGTAAGTGAATCAATTATAGAGGATTGATTTATGTAGAGACATAGGAGGAATTAAACAGGATGAGAAAGTTGCAATCTTCAGCACTAACTCCTACACTTATGAGATCATAGATCCCATCTAAATATTTAAGTAACTATCATGCAGAAAATAATATAATTATTGCTTAAATGAAATACAAAATACTAGAGTAGGTCAGAGGAATGGAAGATGATTTCTGACAAAGGGGAACCAGGGAAGTGAATTAGGCTTTGAAGGGTTTTCCATTTTTCCAAGGTAATTATGAATGCAGGAATGCATGATTGCAGGAACATACCAGAAATGGGGAATGGTGAGAGTAAAAGTTGAAAGGTTCAAGTAACAACCAATGGTTTCGCTGGGATGTAGTGCCAGATAGACTATAAAACACCTCAGGTTAAGAATGGTCCTGAATGGTAGGTTAAGGAATTTGTACTTTATTCTACAAGAAATAAAGAGCCTTTAGAGGATTTTGAACAAAGGAATGGTACCATCAGATGTGCGCATAAAGATTAATCAGGCATCTACAGTGTAAGCATACATCATTTTAAAGGTGTCATGATCACTGTAGGTCCAAACTTAATGTGTGGTCATGCATGGGAGTAATTTTCTTAGGGGAACGCATGCAGTGGTTAATTAATTAAAAATCTATTTGAACAATTTTTCCCCGTCTGGTTAGGTTAGCACACACAAGATGCACAATTATCTGGGCTAGTTCACCCAACCTCAGACAGCGTCATAGTCCCTTGTTCCCAGAGGGTCACCATTTTGATCTATAATTTAGTTAACACCATTTCCCCATCTAATAGCTAGCTAGTACAGATACTGGCCACTATGTTAGAACAAAACTTATAATCAATAATCTGAGTTGGAACAGTTGAAATTATTTTGTCCTCTTTTTGTTTTGAATTAATGAATGAAAAAGCATTTATTATGGGCTAAGCGCTTGGGATATATATGCAAAATATAAATTCAAGGAATTTACAATCAAATGAGAAAACAACACTTATGGAAGATGGTAGCCAGGGAAAGAAATTCTGATCTGATCAGAGCAAAGTCACCAAATGCTGAATGGAACAATAGTTTCTTAACATAATTTTCAGAGGCAATGGTGACATGGTGATTTTGATTTTAATGTTTGAACTATATAGACATACAGTATAAATGTCTTTGTAATCCTGGTTCTGCCACTATGTATCCTTTACTTTTGGCAAGTCACTTAACTTCTCTGAGCCTCAGTTTCCTCATTTGTTAAAAGAA